GAGGCATGGGACCTCGGACAGGTACAAAGCCATAGACTCCACCCTCCAAATCAACCATTCCCTTCTGGGGAACCATCATTGCCAATCTCCAGGTGAGGGCTGGAGATCACTCAAAATTACAACTGTTCTTTAGGTAGCAGAGATCAATTCCTCTGGAGAAAATGGTGGACTCAGTGTAATTATACCCTGCTGAGGTCACCACAGCAAATTGACACTGAGTGTCCAAGGCCGGGGCACCCGCCCAGAGCCTCTTTCTAGAGGCCGTTGTATTTATTTCCACAACGAGCCTTTTTCCTAGTGTGTATATAAATCTGTAATGTATATGCCAGTATGATATCAGGTTGCTTGGTGAAGCACTTTGTCGGTGGAATCTGTGAACGCTTTGCCGGAAGGACTGTGTATATATTGTAAACAAACGTGTAAATAGCACTATCCTAAGCTGGTGTGTGCAAGCTCTATTTCACTCTGCAACGCTCACTGGAACAACAGGAGATATATCACCAGACATCATTGCCCACAATACCATCAACACCGCGGCCCACAAACGCAGCCAACACTTGAAGCGTGCTATATGGACCCTAAGTATGGCTACGCGTCACACCTACAAGCATCAAGGCAACTCCTGCTTCCTTGACCACCTTACCTGCAACTCTACTCCAAAGTAAATGGGACAGAGCCCACATGGGAAAAGGTTCCTTAGTTTCCCAATGTAGCGTATGGTGCCAGGGAAAGTCTGTTGGTCCAAATCTATGAGGACCCGTTGACCCTCCTTGGCTTCCAAAGCAGACTCCAGAGTGAGCTTTTTCAGAAAGCAGTTCAACCGCTCATGGGGCCAGCTGATAGCAGCGAGAAAATCTGCCGCCATCTTCTCCAGGGGGTGCAGAATTTTTACATCCATCGTGACCATAGAGCCGTCCTCGACCATAATGAACCTCCAAAAGCGAGTGGAGGACATGTCCGTGCTAATATAGCGCAGGTACGTCTTCTCTTTTAGGTAACACATGCTCCCTGCCAAAAATAACTTGCTGCCATAGGGATGGTCTTCCATCAGGATGTAATAAATATACGTCTCCCCTTGAGAAAGCTGGGAGGAGGAAGATGGGAATCCAGAAGTCATCTCTGCGATTCTTCAGTCCTGGAAAAAAAAAATTAGAAGAAGAAGAGATTGGATTCATACCCCACCCTTCACTCAGGAGTCTCAGAGCAGCTTACAAACTCCTTTCCCACAACAGACACCCTGTGAGGTAGGTGGGGCTGAGAGAGCTCTGACAGAAACTGCCCTTTCATGGACAGCTCTGGCAGAACCACGGCTTGCCCAAGGTCATCCAGTGGCTGCAAGTGGAGGAGTGGGGAACCAAACCACTGATGGACCTCTGCTCCATGTGCTTATCTAATTCCCTTTTGAAGCCGTCCATGCTTGCAGCCGCCACCACTTCCTGTGGCAGTGAATTCCATGTGTAACTCCCTGCCCCGGATAGGCCAGGCAAGCCCAATCTCGTCAGATCTCGGAAGCTAAGCAGGTCCAACCCTGGCATGTACCTAGATGGGAGACCTCCAAGGAATACCAGGGCCAGGACACAAAGGCAGGCAATTATAAAGCCACCCCTCTGAAATGTCCAAGCCCCACTGGAGGTCGCCAGAAGTCACCATGACGCCCAGGCACGCAAGCACACACACACAAAATACCCCCCAAAAGAGCTACAACTTCCACAAGTCCTTATCAAGAAAGCCATCCTTGTTAAATCCAAAGTAAACCTGAGCCCAGGGTTTTTTTAAAGAAGAAGAAGAAGAGATTGGATGTATACCCCGCCCTTCACTTGGAGTCTCAGAGCGGCTTACAAACCCCTTTCCCTCCCCCTCCCCACAACAGACACCCTGTGAGGTGGGTGAGGCTGAGAGAACTCTGACACAAACTGCTCTTTTTCAAGGACAGCTGTGTCAGAGCTTGTGACTGACCCAAGGTCACATCAACAGGTGCAAGTGGAGGAGTGGGGAATCAAACCTGGTTCTCCCAGATTAGAGTCCGCACACTTAACCACTACACCAAACTACCCAAACTCGTTCCAGCATAAGTTCACAGGAGTGAAGACTCCCTTGATCAGAGGCATCCAAACACCCTCTGCTCACAAAAGTCTCAGCTAGAATGAATTTTGTTAAGGCTTTAAGGCGGCACAGGACTCCTGTTTAAAACTGCAGTAACAAATTAGCATGGCTACCTCCCTGGACCAGCGTCAAATCCCTTTATGACTGCAATGCAGACAGGCTTCCAGCAGCCAAGTACAGAGCTGTTTTCACAGACTGTTGAATAACGCACCCTCGATGCTATAGCAATTGCTTGCAACCAGGAAACTGGCATATTCAGTTGCAAACAATTGCGACAGTGCATCTAGAGTGCACTAGCCAACATGAAACAACTCCAGGCCTCTGTGACTGACATCATCATTCCAAGGAATTAAGAACATAAGAACATGAGAGAAGCCAATGTTGGGTCAGGCCAATGGCATATCCAGTCCAACACTCTGTGTCACACAGTGGCCAAAAACAACAGGGGCCATCAGGAGGTCCAGCAGTGGGGCCAGGAGGACACTAGAAGCCCTCCCACTGTTGCCCCCTCCCTCAAGCACTAAGAATACAGAGCATCACTTGCCCCAGACATAAGAACATGAGAGAAGCCAATGTTGGATCAGGCCAATGGCCCATCCAGTCCTACACTCTGTGTCACACAGTGGCCAGAAATACCAGGGGCCATCAGGAGGTCCCTCCCACTGTTGCCCGCCCCCCCAAGCACCAAAATACAGAGCATCCCTCGCCCCAGACTGAGAGTTCCTATCTATACCTTGTGGCTAATAGCCACTGATGGGCCTCTGCTCCATATGTTTATCATATGCCCTCTTCAACGAACTCCAGCTACAAGGGGCTCTCTGAGAAGGGGTGCCAGCCTCCAGGTGAGTCCTGGAGACCTCGCAAAATTAGAACTGGTCTCCCAACGACAGAGATCAGTCCCCCAGAAACAGCTGCTCTGTGGCATGGACTCTATGGCATTACATCCTAGTGAGGTCTCCCCCCCTCCCCCCAAAAAATCTTGACATCCCCATATGGTTGCCAGTCTCCAGGTGAGTCCTGGAGTTCTCCCAAAATTAAAACAGCCCTCCAGACAACAGAGATCAGTTCCCCAGAGGCACCGGCTCTGTGGCGTGGACTCTATGGCATTATATTCCCACCGAGGTCCTCCGTATGGTCTACCATCTCCATGTGGTTGCCAACCTCCAGGTGGGGCCTGGATATCCCCCTACCGAAATTAGAATTGGGTCTCTAGACAACAGCGACCGGTTCCCCAGAAGCAGCGGCTTCGTGGCGTGGATTCTATGCAATTATATCCTACCGAGCCCCTCCCGGTCCTACCATCCCCATGGAGTTGCCAACTTCCAAGTGGGGCCGGGAGATCTCCCAGAATCAGCCCCCCCCCCGCAGGAAAGGGCTGCTTTGCAGGGGGGGCTCTCGAAAGCAAGACATCGCAAGTCGATAAATAGGTACCACTTCGGTGGGAAGGTAACAGCGTTCCGTGCACGGCCTTGGTGTTTAGTCACATGACCACGGAAACGTCTTCGGACAGCGCTGGCTCTTCGGCTTGGAAACGGAGATGAGCACCGCAACCCGAGAGTCGGACTCGACTGGCTTTCGAGCAAGGGAAACCTTTGCCTTTTACCCACCCCCACACACTGAGGTCCCCAAACCGTGACACACACACACCAGCAGTCTCCAGGAACTTCCCAGCCCAGTTGGCAACCCCGCTGCCTTCACACTCATCCCGGTCCGAAACCGTGCCCGCGAGCGGAGCCGGCCAGAAGAGCAGGGAGGCGACCCCGAGGGAGCAGGACACCACCCGGCCGGCCCTCTCTCACCTCCCGGGCCGCGAAAGGGGACCAGCCCGACCCGGCCGCCGCTTCGGCCGCTTCTTCTGGAGGAACCAAACCATAGAGAGCGGTGAGGCCAGAGCAGCCCAAAGCCCGGACGGAAGACGCCCGGCCGCCAATCAGCGAGAAGGGCGGGGCTCGAGCCGTCAAGCGAGCTGGCTGGCCATTAAAAAAAAAAAATCCTTTCTCTCCGTCTCTAGCAAAAGGTGCTAAACCCTGCGGCGGGGCGGGGCGGGGCGGGGCGGGGCGGGGCGGGGGTTACGATTGTTCTCTCATTGGCTGGGACTGTTTGGCGACGCCCCTTCCCGAGGAGAGACTCTTTCGCTTCTGGTTGGGCTCGGAACGTTCACACTGCGCAGGCGCTCCGACAAACCGTGCTGTTACCTCAGCGCGCCCGCTATAATTATTGAAGGGTTTACTGCTGCTGTGGCTCAAGTGGTTAAGACGCTGAACTGCAGGCTGTGGAAGGTCGGTAGTTCAGCAGTTCGAGACCCGAGTGTGCCGCATGACGCGTCTCTAGTTCCAGCTCCTGCCAACCTAGCAGTTCAAAAGCAAGAAATTGCAAATAGATAAATAGGTACCACTTCGGTGGGAAGGGAACAGTGTTCCGTGAGCCTTGGTGTTTAGTCATGCCGGCCACATGACCACGGAAACGTCTTCGGACAGCGCTGGCTCTTCGGCTTGGAAACGGAGATGAGCACCGCAACCCTTGGGTTGGACTCGACCGGCTTTCGAGCAAGGGAACCTTTACTTTTACCTTTACTGGCTACGCCTAGATCCGGGCTTCCCCCCCAATGGCTGTTGTTGCCAACCTCCAGGTGGGGCATGGAGAACTCCTGGAATTACAACTACAGAACAAGGAACAAAAGGAAGTGTGAGCCCTTGAAGGCCGACGGATATGGTTGCCCATCTCCAGGTGGTCACAGTGATGAAAAACAACCCTAATGTAGTAGTGTGAAAATATATTTAGACTGCTGTATTGCAGTGGGGAGCGTTTCTTCAGCAAGGAATAAAGAGCAGGGAAAGAATTTGTTCCATTGGAGTGGGAAGAAGGTTGGAGTGTTAATTCACAGATTAGAATTGTTCACGCAGCACACCCATAAAAAGGTGCTATGTGAAACGGGAGTATATGCAGTTTCCGTAGTGTGTATGCGTGCACCTTTATGGCTTGCTGAAGAAACACTACTCACAACTCACTACAGTACATATTTTAATAATAATAACGTGGACTCTATATCACTATACCCTGCGGAGGTCCCGCCCCTTCCAAAACCACACCCTCCCCATACCACCACCCCAAAATCTCCAGGAATTTTCCAACCCAGAGCTGGCACCTCTAATGTTGGAGAGCAAAGCGGCTGACATCACACTCCTCTCCTCCGAGAGCTGCTTTTGACGTTCATCTTTTCCAAATCCGATCTCATCCATTCTTCCAGAATGCAGCGACAATGTCTCAAGCCTCAGGGCTTCTCGGGAGCAGGCAGGCAGGGACCGTGCCCATGTTGATCCCGTGGCCTCTCCAGTCCAAGGCTCAGTCAGCAGGTGATCAGAGCCCGAGACCTTGGGTTGCCAAACTCCAGGTGGCACCTGGAGATCTCCTGCTATCACAACTAAGCTCCAGGCAACCAAGTTTAAATCCCCCGGAGAAAAATGGCCACTTTGAAGGGTGATGATATTATACCGCACTCAGGTCCCTCCCCAGGGATCACCCCTAAAATCTTCAGCTATTTCCCAACCCGGACCTGGCAACCCTACTGACCCCCCAGAGACCCACTGCCTCTCAGAGCAGGCAATACTCTGGAGCAACAGTCCAGTGTCAGGGACAGTGATGTGCAGCGGTTAGAGTGTCACAAACCTGGGAGACCACAGCTTTACTCCCTAGGCTGCCATGGAAGCTTGTGGGGTGGCCCTTGGGTCAGCCACATGCTCTCAGCCTAACCTACCTCACAGGGTTGTTGTGAGAATATGGAAATGGGAGAATGATGCATCCTGCCCTGAGCTCCTTGGAGGAAAGGCAGGATAGCAAAAGTACTGAATAAATAGAACCCCCATATAGTGTCACACAGAGAAACACCCTTGCTAATGGTTGCATGAAATATAGAACTGTAGCTGAATGAATATCATGGTGGGGACCTATTGGATAGTGCCCTTGCCATCAGCAGGGAGAACTGGCAACCCCATTCCTCCATGTCACGTTTTGATGTGTGTACACTGTAGCTTGGAGCTGCGGTGGCTCAAGTGGTTAAGACACTGAACTGCAGGCTGTGGAAGGTCAGTAGTCCAGCAGTTCGAGACCTGAGTGTGCCGCATGACGGAGTGAGCTCCCATCTCTAGTTCCAGCGATTACGCGATCAGATGCGCCGGCAGCACACCACGGGTCCTTCCCTCGATGCCGGCGGGTAAACGAGGGTGGCGATCACACGACGATCCTGCAGCGCAGCAAAGAAGCGGCATGGCGCGATCACACCAGGAATGGCTAGGAGCTGCTGCCGTGGCAAACGGGGTCATTTATTTTCTTTTAAGCTGAAGGATGGATGAGTGGAACTTTGCGTGGCTAATGCTCCGTGTGACCGCAGCCATAAGCCACTTTGTGTCCCTAATGGGGAGAAAAGTACAGTATAACAGGCTTTGGATGCCGCTGTGCTCAAAATGAGGAGGAAGGCCAGAGGTCGATTCAGGGGGGATCGTGGGGGATCGCCGTTCCCCCAGGTGAGGTGCGGGGAGGCGGGGCACGTGACGAAGCCCCGCCCCCTGCTTCCGGCCGCCCCACTTCTGGCCCTCATTCAGCCAGGAGGAGGCAGGAGAAGAGGGAGGGTACGTTGCTTCCTCCCTTCCTCTCCCCACCCCTGCTTCCCTGGGGCCAGGGAGGGCCTTGGCAAGGCTTCCTCGCACTCCCGCCGGCCTTGCAGGTCCACCGCCAGGCCTTATGACACACTTACGGTGATGTCAGGGCGTGTGGCCTTATGTCACACGTCTGGTGATATCAGGGGGTGTGGCATATGCTAATGGTTATGCTAATGAGCTCCCCTAGCACTTTTTCTACGCAACCACCCCCGAGGAAGGCTATTGGAAATTCCAGACAGCAACTGCAAGGCATTACATGTGTGAGTGGCTGTTTTTACTCTGGTCTTTAGGGATCCTCCAGAAATGGCCAAATAGTCTTTCAAGCCTCAGACTGTGCCAGGTCATTTCACAAAGGGCCACTGAGCTGCTGACCAATGATTTGGTTGTCTAGACCAACATCTTAACTCCCTGGAAAAAAAACTGCATACTAAGAACACTAAACTGGAAAACACCTGATCTCAGAAGCTAGGCAGGGTCAGTACTAGGAAGAAGAGAAGAGATTGGATCTATACCCTGCCCTCCACTACTCAAGGGAGTCTCAGAGCGGCTTACAAACTCCTTCCCCTCCCCACCACAGACAGCCTGTGAGGTAGGCGGGGCTGAGAGAGCTCTGACAGAAACTGCTCTTTTTTCAAGAACAGCTCTTATCAGAACTATGGCTTGCCCAAGGTCATCCAGCAGCTGCAAGTGAAGGAGGAGTGGGGAATCAAACCCGGTTCTCCCAGATTAGAGTCCACACACTTAACCACTACACCACCAAGGAAGACTCTGCAGAGGAAGACAATGACAAATCACCTCTACTTAATCATTTTCCTTGAAAACCCCATGAGGGGGTTGGCTAATAATTTGGCTATAACTTGATAGCACTTTACACACAAACTAGAAGCCATCATTTACATCCGACAGCAGTGAACTCCACAAGCAAATCATTTGTCCAGTGATTCCTTTTGTCTTGTCCTGAATCTAGTTCATTCGATGCCCGTTAAGTTCTCGTAGTCTGGGGAAAGTTTTCCACCCACTATCTTTACTTTCTAATTTCATAAACCTGTGCCATGCTATAAGGAACAGCTTAATCATTTTGGTTACCCTTTTCTACACACTTTCTAGTGCAGCAATATCCTTTTGAGGTAAGGTAACCAGAATTGTAGGCAGTACTCCAAATCTGGTCTGACTAATTTACATTATTTAAAGTCTGCGTTTCCCACTTGGAATCAAGTCAATCCAATCAACAGAAGGAGATACTCAATAAACAATGCAACAGAATTAGGGCTACAAAGCAACCAGAAGCCTTAAAACAGAATTGAAGGAAACCATTAAGTTTTAATTAAGATTATTAAGATTGCTGGGAAAAAGATCAACAACCTCAGATATGCAGACGATACCACTCTAATGGCAGAAAGAGGACCTTAAGAGTCTCTTGCTCAGAGTAAAAGAGGATGAGATGGTTAGACAGTGTCATAGATGCAACAAACATGAAGTTGAACAAAACTTCAGAGGACGGTGGAAGACCGGAAGGCCTGGCGTGATCTGGTCCATGGGGTCGCGAAGAGTCGGAACAACAAATTAAGTTTTTACTTGACACAATTAAATGATGGAAAAACTGCATAGTAATATCCAATTTACAGCACACTATATATAGTAGTGAAGACCACAGCCCCTAACAATTTATCCAACTAACTGGTACAGGATCTGCTGAAGCACCCAGCACTCACACCCACTACTTCTCTCAAAAGTTTTCTCTCCCCCCCCCCACCATGCCTGTTCTAAGTGACACAGTGAGGCAGATACCCTTCTGTCTTCCTGGATCCTGACACCCCTGTGAGGTAGACCAGGCAGAGTGTCCAGTCCAAAGTCACCCAGTTGGCTCTTCAGCTGAGCAAGAGGTTCGTTGTTGTTGGGTGTTACAAGTTAAAAACACTTCAGTACAGGGGTCATTTCGTCGAAAAAGAGGTGCAGGAGCTCATTAGCATAACTCATTAGCGTAACTCATTTGCATATGCCACACCCCCTGACATCACCGGAAGTGTGTCAGAAGGCAACACCCACTGCTCAGGCTCCACTGGACTGTTTTGGATTGCTAGCTATTAGTGTGTGTGTGTGTGGGGGGGAAACGTGCAGATCTGTCCTCGCAGAGGAGGGAGAGCTTGTACCTGAATAAAACTTAGTTTTAAAGGTGCCACTGGACTTTTT